TGTGTTCATACACACACACACTTGTAAACTAAAATCAGCAGAACTTTAAAAAGCTCATCAGACTCGTCCTGAATTAATGAGAGACAGTGATCACAAATGAATCCACTAATTCACAAGATGATTTTGTGACAAATCATCCCGCCCATTCAACATTATCATCTTCATCAGAAAGGTGGTTTATACTAGCTGTGACCTAGAGGATTCTGCAAATCGTCATCATTCTATGTCTTTATGCATCACCCAGCAACTTTTGCTGTGTAAGAGTTATCTTTAAAAGTTATGTGTTATTTCAGTTGCAACTCTGTATTTTTGTAGTTGTTTTGAGAACAAACTACACGTGGATAGGTAAAAACAGATAGTAAATGGTAAATATTTGTATAGCGCTTTACTCAGGGCTGGACTGGGACAAAAAATCAGCCTGGGCATTTTGACTAATGACCAGCCCACCATGGTATTATAGGAAAAGCCATAAAGCCTTTATAATAAACTTAAACCTACACCATCCTCCCTATTCTGGTATTCTAAAGAGTACTTAGCAAAAATATAAAACAACCTAATTTATAATTACATATACCTCACTAATAGGGTTGCCAACTCCCAGCAAAAAAAGAAAAAAAAACCATAGGGAACCACTCCCCCATCCTCTACCTCAAGATGCTTAATTGACAAAACCGATTTTAATTTAATGCACTTATTTAAAAAAAACAAAATGCACAGAAACCTATCATTTTTCTCCAGTAATTAAATAGATTCAACATCTTTCTTCAACAGAATTGCAAACTGCACAGATACCTTCCCAAAGGAAAGAATACTATAACTTACTCGGGTATATATTACTAAATATTTACTGAATACAATAATGGATTTCTAAACATTTTACATCAGATGAAAACTTTGGTTGTAAGATTCAGATAATTATTTATTAAAAGCGAGACATTTTGTATGAGAATAAGAAAGAAAAGTATTTCTCTGTGCCCCCCTTTCCCTGTTAATGCCCTACCTGGCCCCTTGGCAAAACTTTGCTAGACCCACCCCTGCACAGTTACCAGCGCTATGTAAAAAAGGATCCTGGTGTAAGTTGTCTCTCAGAAACAGTTCATAACTTCCCTTCAACTCATTCATGTCACCTAAAACGTAAACCTGTTTCTCCATCACCTGTTCAGCTCTGATGATTCAGTAAGAACATCTCCTGGTTTCATCTTCATGTTTCCCTCTCACCACATATCCAAACTGATATCATGACCAGCAGCTTTTACAGCTGTGGCTCCAGCAAACATCAGCTGATACTAGAAATTAATATTAAATAAATTCTACCAGCAGCTGATCAAGCTTAAACGTGCTGCTGTTGTTTAATGCAACCTCCGCTGGTTTCCTCTTTCTGGCGCAGAGAGAAAAACCGATCAGCTGATCATTGATCAGTTTCATGATTGAATTAGAAACTTTCTAGCTGAAGTAGTACGGGACGAATCGCATTCCCTTTTACCTCAACTTTAGTTCGACCTCCTCCGCGGTCCAGCCCAGAGTTGATCATGACCAACTGGCCAATCCACCACCATTCATTTATACCGTAAAAAAAGAGAAAAGAAATAAAACCCCATCGGCCCATAAAAACTAAAAATTAAGAGCGGCCCACTGGGCAAATGCCCGGTATGCCCGATGGCCAGTCCAGCCCTGGCTTTACTTAGTCCCTATGGACCCCAAAGTGCTTTACACTACATTCAGTCAGTGTGTGAATGGGTAAAAGTAATAAATAAAATCGTCATCCATACTTTTATTTTCCCTTCCAGTTTCTCCTAAATGAAGCCACGTAAAACACCCTGAAAACTTTCACATGCTTACTGGGTCTAATTCCCTGTTTACAGCCTGCCCTCCTATACTGTCACAGGTCATAACTACTGTCCCATTTCCAGCTTTCCATTTATCTCTGAGATTCTGGAGCATGCCTTGCAGCATCACAGGTCCAGGCTTACTTAATTAATAATAACTATAAGAGCCATTCAGACACAGCAGGAAAATAGCTTTTGTGAAAGTCACCAGGGACCTCGTCCTTGCATCACATGCATATCCTTGACCTCAGTTCTGCTTTCGATTCCATCTGTCATCTTCTGTTATTACGACTGGCCAGCACTAGAATCAAGGACACAGCACTAAAACGATTTACATCATACATGGCTGACAGAAAGCAATTTGTTCAAGGCTAGACTCCCCACTAAATATCAGCCCTTTACAGATGGAGTCCAACAGGGATCAATGCTAGAACCCGCACTGTTTATAATTTAGCTTTTTCCTCTTAGATATATCCTCTGTCTCTCTGGTTAATCTGCTCCAAATAATTTAGAATTCAGCAGCACCAGGTCCATAAGTCTATCACATGCCTGTAAAAACAATTCACTCATTTTACCCTGAAAAATACAGACCTGTGTATTCTGGTTATTACAACCTTAATACTGCTATACAATTACATGCAAGGTGGTGGCTAAGGAAATGGTGACACAAACTAAAGAGACTGCAGTCTGAGAAGAATTTCTATGTTTCCTATGTGTAGATTTAAGGAAGCCTCTACGTGCTTTCAACATTTATTGTCCAATATATGGATCAAACGACTTTGTGCGAATCCACAAAATTCACATAGCTATCTACACCCCAAAGGGAACTTTCAGTCAAGTGACCTGAGGAAGAGAGTGGGATCCCAACAGATCCAGTTTGCTTTGTAATAAACTGCTCATCCAGGTCCCATCACAGGAATTATCCATATTTTACAGAGTAATGGCTAATTAGACTTTAGCCATTATATAATGTATTTTGTGCATTAAATACGTAACCAAATAGTCTGTAGAAAGAAAAAAAAACAGTTGTTTACAGACAGCATGCTGGCACAGATTTGAGCTGACTAACCACTAGAGTGCGCCACAGACTAGTTTTGCACTTGTTGCATATCTTTGTCAACTAGGTCAATTTATATCACAATATTAACAACTGACTCCTGGACTGTGGAAAAAAAAACTACATGTAATCATAAATGAGATGAAGAGGCATCTGGGAAATGTCCAGTTTTACACCACATTTATTGCACTGATACCTCGAGTGGCCCCTCTATACCCAAAAAAACTTTCAGTATGCAAATATGCTTTTTTCTTCCTTCTGGACAAAGCAAAATGTTTAAGTAAACACTGTCTGTCCTCTGCAAGCTCAGGAATCCCACGCTGACAGTCGTGTTTTTCTTATGTACAAAATACACAGAAAATCATTTTCCTTTTTTTCAGCTGTGCAATTATAGAAACTTCAGGAAAGAAAAGACTACAGTGATGATTTAAAGCAACCATTCCT